TGTTACACACTGCACCTTTAAGACCAACTATGAATTTGAGGTATATATTTATATGCATCACAATTTATGTCAGCCCCAAAAAGAAGGCTGAACCCAGACCAAACGACGGGTTTATCCATGGCTACTTCCCTGATTAATAAGTGTTGTGGCATTTTTTGAAAGGAAGTGTGCAGATGAACTTAAATGTATTTCGCTTTCTCTGGTAATAACTTCAGGTGCGGGGCCGGAGGTTCACCTACAGTCAGCAGTATCACAGTGCTACAGTGGAGCCAGGGGACGTGACTCCTAAAATTGACTCCCGCTCCGCTGCTGCCTCTACCACTTGGTTCACAAGCATGAGCGGTGACAAGCCCAAAGTGCACCCTAAACACCCAGATGAGGCTCGAGTGGAGGAGCTGAGGAAGGTGATCTTCCAGCAGTGTGGGGTTTCACAGTTCGCTCAGAACGCTCAGTTTATTGGCATTCCCATGAATCTTAGCACAGGGATATCTTTTTTTATGGCTGTTTGCTTACTCTTTCCTTTTTCTCTATGACCCAATGGAGTAGGACTAATAATATTAACCTAACCACCTGCTTCCAAGCTAGCTAGCTGATTCTGTTCACTGTGCTTCCAGCCATGGAGAGAGAACATCCTACATGCCAATATATTGAAGCCCACAGGTTCACGGGACATATGGGCCTCGAGCCAGTGCCAGGAGGACTTTCAGCTCTATAACAAGCCTCGGCCTTTCTTGAGCCCACCTACTGTCACCATTCACCTGGCTGGTAGGCTGTGCTCCATCAGTGTACCATAAAACACTTTTAACTGCTAAGAACACCTTTCATGTACAGTTCCATTTCGTTGTATGATGGTGTGTTTCTCTTTTCCCGTGAGTAGCCGGCCAAATGTTAACAACCAGGTGTCAGGCTGAGATATTTCCCTCGTAGCCATCTAAGACACCAGCTGTAAATGTCAGCATTCGGTGTCAGAATCAAAGAGAGGGGTTCTTTACAGACTCACCATTTTATACTGAAGTTCAGGAGAAATCCATCATAGGGGAGATAGAAATGTGTCCACCAACAGCTGCCTTAATGCACCATAATGTCATACAGCCACAAGGTGTTGGTTTGTCCATCACTGCACCCAACATTGCTGAAAAAGTCAAAGGTATTACACTTAAAGTTATTACATTACAGAATGAAAGAGGTGAGTGACCCATTCACTCACATTCTTTTTTATGCTCAAGTCTTAAACTTGAGATATTTGGATTTGGATGATGTATCCCAGCAAGCCAGCAGGTTGTCAGAAAGAACTAAACAACAACAAATGGAGCCAGTTAACAAAACCCACAACACAGCACTCGCAAAATGGTTTTAAACATTCACAACAGAGCGCAACATCTTTAATGTATTTTCAGTACTTGATTTTCCTTTCAGATGTCACTGTGTCATGGAACTATTTTTCCTATTGTAAGAAGAGTTCTGTAATCCCTCCAGCTAACAAAATCCTAATTCAGCAAAGTATTGATACAGTATGGGAGCTTGTACAGAGTACAAAAGTAAATTGATGAATTAGTACGTGTTTGAAACAGGGGCGCTAATGCAGGTGATGGGGGATGGAGTTGGAAGTGAGCCATGGCTTTGATAAATGTACTATAAGAGTTTTTACCTGGTTACGAAACAATTTAATACTGACGCCTGTGTAAGATTGCTCGAGTGGCGAAGGCAGGAAGGAAGGGACCTTGAAACTGTTCAGTCAGTCCAAATTTATGTATTTCCCTATTACCCCAAGCAGTGGATCAGTGCAGCTTATTTACAGTGAGGATCAGCTTGGCCCAAACCGAAGAAAACAACAAACTAAATAAAAATGAAAACAACTTAGGGAAAAGGTAACTAGAGGTATCAAAAAGAAAACCTCAACTCTGCTCAGGGCTATGCCCTTTTTAAGCTTGGGCCCCTGGCAGCTAACAAACCGTGTGGCCTGCTCACCAACATCCTCAAAAGTAGTCTCCCCTGGAGAACCCTCAACTCCTGCTTATATATGCTGTAGCTCCTCCTGTCACAGGAAGCAACAATTAAGAAAACAATTAACCTTCAGCATTCATTTATCAGTAGAAAGAACTCACTACACATAGAGTAAAATAGATCCCAACTGTTCAAAATAACAAATCTCCCAAACGCCTCCTAAATCTCCCCCTCATCTATACTACACTTGGCACATTCCCCCAGGAACCTGACCATAAAAGGAGTCCACCTGGGCAAGCACTGGTTACCAGTTCCTGGAGAGGAGAGGTGAGAAACACAAATTAATCAAAACGTTAAAACACAAATATTTTCTAAGGCTTCCTTCCAGATCTAATGTAATGCAAACATACTACAATTTCCCTTAACATGTTTCAACCCAACATCTGTACTGATTACCAAACCCCAGACACCTGCCGGGTAGATGGTATGTAAGTGGCTGAGGTGGACAAGCACTCTATATTGTGTCTCATTTAAGTTACAAGTCACGGGGCATCCCCATAACAGCCTGTATATGAGCTACATAAACAAACAACACCATCAGCGAGAAGATTGGCTATTTCTATATAGTCATTCTGATGTATGGTTAGACTCCCCTCTAAATCAGACAAAACGAGCCGTTAGAAACACTGCTGCTGCTGCACCAGAATCAACACAAAATGAAAGTTCCTTGTTGTTTTAAGTATGTCTGGTTACATGTAACTTGTTACATTGTAGGAGGATCTATTGTCAGAAATGGAATATAATATTCATAGGTAGGATTTCATAAGTGTATAATCACCTGAATATGAGAATTGTTGTGTTCGTTACCTTGGAATGAGCCATTTACATCGACAGACACCATGTTGAGCTGCCATGTGTCTACAGTAGCCCAGGATGAACAAACCAAACACTGGCTTTAGATAGGGGAGTTTGCATTTTTCACACATTTCGCGGCCACCGTAGTTTCTCTTTGGCTGTTGGAAGGGGTGAGTGACGCGATGGGTGCCACTAATGAATTGGGTGTTCTAGTCACTCATAGGGATGCGCAGATTTATTGGCCTTGTTGACTGACATCAGCCTATCGGCAAATAAGATGAAGTTCACTGATGTTGCGTGAATTTTGCGCTGGCTAAATGTTATGTTGGTTATTTCCAAGCCGAATATTGGAGAAATAATAACCAGAGAAATAGACTGAGCTGTAACAAGGCAGGGGTGCTTATCTTGGTAGATTTCTTTGTGTCCCTGGCACAAAACAGCGAATAAACAACAACAACAAAAATATCTGTATCAGCTATCGGCCAAATTGTTAATTTAATCATTGGTATTGGCCCAGAATTGACCAATCGGTGCATCCCTAGCCATTCCTCAATCTGTACTGCTATCCTTATTGGGAGTAACAGGGATATGAGGATTAATATCAACTCTGCACATATTCTGCATTACCATAATAATCTGTTTCCAGTTAGTTGACTGACTGAAGTAAATAAGGCAATGCATTAAACCACCGTCTTCTATGCTAAGTATTAGCATTAAACTTTAAATTTGTCTATGGACAGCATGCAACAGTTTGGAGTTAGCCACTCGAAGCCATGTTAGGCATTTGGCAATCTCCATTCTTTTGATGCTGTTGGAACATGCGGTACAAGCTGTGCATGTTCATTTTCAGTATGTAGATGATGTAGCGAGTAAGACCATCTGGCACGAACTGGCACTGTTGTTCATCCTACTGGTTGGGCTTCAATGGCACCTTGTTACAACTTCGCTTTGTTAAATGATAAAACACTACTCAACATGGGAAGAAAGACTGTGTGATAACTGTAATTAACACTGAGCAAAGCACTAAATTTAACAAGCCTAGGAGCATCCAAAATAGTTTTTTTTCCTATAACTGGGCTGTACGCTTTTTCTCAGTAGTGTAGGCCAATATTGATATGTTTTGATTGAAGCTCCAGATGGCGGATATTTGAGCCAGTATCAGTTTTTGCTGCTGAGTAACACACACTCCCACGCCACACTGGAGAATAGATTTGGCCAGGGAGGAACCTCAATTAAATCAGCAGTGAGCAAAGATGATCCGTTTATGTCTGTCTTGTTGTTTGTCCAACCATCCAGTTCAGTAACAACTTCTCGCCTGTTTAGTTGATCAGTTATAAGAACGGTAAAGCATCAAGTCTACTGAGTTTCTAACCACTGAGTGTGCTGTTGATCCTCAGGAGACCTTCTGCAGCAGGAGCAGCTCGAGGCAGCCAGAGATCAGTACAGTCGCTGGCTGAAGAAGCTGCTCCCTGGCGACAGCGCCGACCCACCGGTCAACGGCCCCTTCCCAGAGTTCAAGTGTCACATGGGAGGAAACTCACAGATAATTGAGGATATACTGAAAGACAAACCTAGGAAGTTTTCACTGAGGAAACCGGGAATGATGCTGAAGGTACGGTGTTTGTCACGGCTTTGGACAGAGCTGATGACATAATGAACACACAAACCCCAAGTCCCAGGAGTATTTGGACAGCTGCACACTTTGTGATGCTGTGACGATTATTTTGAAACACTCTTGATCCATAAATCAGTGGGTTATCCAACATCATCAAAGACATATTCAGGAATTGGTTGGACTCCAAAAGTAAAAAACACGATTGCCATGTGGAATTCAGTTTTTTTTATAGTTTTATGGCATACCTCATTACACTGTTTCTTGCTTCCTGCTTTTCTTCAATTTGTTTGTAGAGGGATTGCAGACATTTTCACAAATTTCTATTTTCTCAAAAGCTGCTGCAAACAATGTCCTTAAAGTAGGAAAAAATCCAGAGCTCACTTTCGTGTGTTTGTTGAATCTTGAAACCAGAGTTCAGTCATTAGTGAGTAGTTTGAGGAGCTGCAACCTGAAAGGAGCTAATGAGTCCATGAGAGGAAACAAGGGCGTCACTCTTGCAGGGAATTTCAGATGGGTGCTCTGCCTCAAAAGAAAAAAAAAAGTTTAGGATAATGCACCACAAAAGCAAATATACATTCAGACTTTAATCATCAGCTCAGTGGGTAGAGCTGGCGACCCGTATACCCAGGCTGAGTCCTTGCTGCAGCGGCCCAGGGTTGGAATCTGACCTGTGGCCCTTTGCTGCGTGTCGTTCCCTCTCTCTGCCTCTGTTTCCTGTCTATCTTTGGCTGTCACTATCATAAAG